TCTTTCCACTGTTTGCCCCCTTCCATCCCATGGTCTATACCTCAGGGGGGCAAAGGCAGCCCCCACTTCTGAGGCTGTTCCTGCAGGGTCGAACACCAATGACCATCCCTGCAACCTCTCCTGTAAACCCCAGGAGTGTGGGAGAAGTGGAGAGGGTGAGACAAGTAGAAAAGTGCAGCTGTCCGTACACTGACCTGCCCACTAGTACCAGAACATGCTGCTGGAAGCATGGGGAATCTGGCATAGGGGCAGCTGGGGATTGTGGAAGGGCAGTGGAAGGCAGCAGCAGTAGTGGCAGTCCCCAGAGAGGCAGCCACAGGCCTAGCTGCAATAGCTGGGGCAGGCACAGGGTGCTGGTTGGGGGAAGAGAGAATTTATCTCCTCACACATGGAGATTTTGCATCACACTTCCATCGCTCTTGGAGCACACAGTGTACCATGGCACAGCCCTTGGGAATCACTGAATTAAAGTAAAGCAACAGGCTTACTACTTCACTTGCAAGGATCTGGGGCCTAGCATTGTTGCTGTCCTGACACCCAGAAGTTCCTGCTGCCACACCCAGATTGTCTCCTGGGATGCAACACTTCCTAGACACTCTCATCTCCAGGACTTACTGTCACACAGCCAACCATGACACTGAAAAAATATGTCTCTCTACATTCTGCCTTCCAAAAACAAGGTTAGTATTTTATTTGGGAGACTGTGGTATGAAAAAGGATGTGGTAAGACATGGTGTTTGACTTTTTGAACAAAGGGATTTAATAGATTTTCCACCACTTTACATTCTCAAGTCCAAACTGAATAGTTTTCTAAAAGATATTCTCTAAATCAGACAGAAGTTATGAATTTGATGCAGGAACTACATGAAGTTCTTTGGCTTGTGTTATGCAAGATGTCAGGCAAAATGCTCATAATGGTGCATTCTCTCTTTACTATTGTATAATTCTAGGAGTATGAGGAACTTGGTCTCTATTCCTATAAGTGATCTTGTGCAACCTCTCAATTTGCTAGTCAAATGTTATGACTGATATTTGTCTGACTACAAAGTTAAGAGCACACAAATATAAGAAAATAAGTGAGTGGTAAAAATGAAACCTGAATGTGCAACATCCTGGTTTCCAGCTCTATGCAGTGTCATAGGCTAGATAAGGATTTTTCTCATACCTCAAACTTGGAACCTTATGCACCAGGAAAGTGGTACGCTTGCAAATTCTGCTTCAGCAGGAAGCAATATTTTCCTCATTACTGTCTACGGTCTCTTGTTTCTAATTAGATAAGCTGCCACAAGTTAATATAGACCCTACCTATGGCAAGAAAACCTAGGAAACAGTCAACAGAAAACAATAACTGAGTTTTCACTGGGAACTCTCCAGCCTCTGTTGAAACATGGCAAATTTAAACTCTCCTATCTCAGAAATGCATGTTGCATGGTTTTGGAATTAGAGGGTATACAAAAGTGCACACAGTTGCACTATATATCCAATATTTCAAACTCTAAAAATATATGGTAAAACTGCTCATTTGGGGGCAATAAAATTTGGAGAATGCACAGTATTTGAGGAGACAGAGGAGGTGCAGGTACAGTGTTCCTCTGACATCTACTCAAGTGCTTTATCTGATTATAGTTCAATGTGCTGGCAGAAAGTTCTATAGTATGGTACCTAAAAACACTAGGAACTTAGTGGCATCACCATTTGAACAGAAAGGATGATAGTGTTAGCCAGACTAATTAAATCGATACATCTATGTGACAACTCACAGCTGCCGGCAACCTGCAGATGGAGGTGGATCACCATCCTAATACTCTGTGTTTCTATACCTAAATGTCCTTGATATTGTCTCGGGGAAAATATTTTCCCCAAGAGATACTATTAGGATGCTGTGTAACCATGTGACATTTAAAAACGTTGTTACACTGTAGGACTAAGAGATGTGAGAAATATGTTTTCAATGAAAGAACATTGTTTTGGTCCCACAGGAGGTTTGAAAGGATTGTTTAAGTATCTCTTCTACATTTCTGCTACTATTTTACTCATAGGCAAACACTTTCCAATGAACTGCTATGCAATTAAAGATGAACTTTCATACTAGGGTAGACTACACAAATATACTATAAAATGAGAACATGTGTGCCAAGAGTAATCTGTCTTGCCTGTTACTTTCTATTAGTCTCCACATTAAGGAAGAATTTTGTTTCAATGAGCCTTCTTCTTATTAGTCCAATTCCTGCTTGATTTTAAAGTTTTGCTCATTTGTCTGGCAACTGACTAATGCTGGAAATAACCAAGAGTAGAAATTAGATTTTCAACAGTCAGTCTGAAATAAGCACAAAATGAGTTTCAGACCATCAAGTAATCTCAGCATCCTGATAATTTTAAGAAAGTGAATCCAGATTCATCACCTCTGGAAATGTGTTGGGTACCTCTTTGCTACAGATCTGTATTCCAGCTAACAGAGGCAGTGGGACTTCACTGGTTTAATAATGTGCAATGAAACAGCACATAGAAAATGAGCCATCTTGTTACAGGTGCAGCTCTGCCCAATACTCATACGTGCAGCTGAACTCTCCCATGGGTACCCATCCCAGAGTTCTTAGTAGTGTTTGCAGAAGACAATTTTGGTTCTGGAGCTAATTTTGCAGCCCAAAAGAACTCTGAAAGCAAAGATCAAGCTACACTTATTCCATCTGATCTGTGGGGCTCCCCACAGGTCACAAAATCTGGTGACAGGGGAGCAGTGGCCATTAATATGGTCATCCGCCCCCTTGCCAAATTCCTAAACCCAAAGCCCTGCATGGCCAGTGGGCCTGGGCCAGTGTGCAACCCCTTCCACAGTTGGCCTGGCCACACCCCTTTCTCCTGTGGGCTGAGCTGGGACCTGGCCAGGCTCCCTCTCCCCACCAGGGCTCGGCCATACCTCCTTCCTTCTCTGCAGTGCCAAGCTGGAGTCCTCCCCTTACAGGGCTCGGCCACACCCCTTTCCCTCCTGTTGGGGCTGGGCCATACTCCCTTCCCCGCTCATGAGGCTGAGTTGGGGCCTGGCCATGCCCCCCAGGGGTCTGGGCTATGACCATTTCCATCCCTGCAGGGCTATGCCCCCTTCCTGTCCACCACCACCGTGCTTTTCTTTCCCATTTCCAGTGACTCCTGTTTCTTCACAAGCCTTAACTGTCTGGCAAACATCACTGAACAGGGTCCCAAATAGTTTAGTTAAAAGCCCTCTGTTGCCCCCTCTCGCAGCCTGTCACATATTATGAGTGTGGACCTGACCTCCATAAGGTGAAGACAGCTCAGTCTGCCCTGCACTTCATTTGCATATAAAAATTTTGGAGGATCCCAGGACTCATGACAAAAATACCTGTTTCCTGTCATGAGTGGGGGGCTAATTAGCACATGGATCCTTTCTGCAGGGGCATCTGGAGTACACACACATAATGAGAAGCGCTAAGCTTGAAATCCTGTTGATTCTAGTGGGGCCTGGCCCAATGAACTATGTGGTAAGTGCTCCAGACTGATGTCATGCATAGTTTGTACTACATATAAGTAGGTGCCAAAGTGCTGCTCAAAAGTGTTCATGGAATATCTGTGCTAAAACTTGCAGCAGTTTCAAAAATAGCTAACATGCAACAATTCTGGATGTATTAAGTTTATGGGTACTATATGCACATTGTTACAGCTTTGTTTAATTTCAAGGTTACTGTTTTCAAAGTTGCTCCTCACTTCCACGTGCTCAGGAAGAACAGGATCTGACAGTAAGGAGTGGAGGAAGGGGCTGCCAGAGAATAAAGCTGGAGGGAAGCAGAGAACAAAGGGGTTACCAGACCCCCCAGATTTATTTTTCCTGTTGTAGCAATGGGAAGGGGACAAATTCAAGGCAAGCTTCCAAGAATTAGATTCTATACCTGGAAAATTATAAGAAATTTATAATTTTTCCAAATATAGAATCTAATTATTGGGGGGTCATCTTATATCTGAGTAAATACAACACCACCAGCTATACTGTGATACAAGTTTTCTGGACTTCATACTGGCTCCTGGATTTTGCCCTACAATGGTAAAGCAAAGTAAATGATAGCAGAACTTTTTAAAAATGAAGAGATTTTCCAAGGGCGGACAAAGAGGCACAACACTGATATCAAACCAGTATTCATCCTCTTCACGATTCTCAGAGCCCCTCAAACATTTCTGTTCAGCTACAGATGCGGCTGATCAAAATTTGAAGTAAAATTCACAAAAACACTGAAAAAATCTCACATTTTGGGATTACCAATATCAAAAGGGGGAAGTAGAGGCATTTACCCATTCTTCCCCGACCCCCACTTTTATTTTGGAAGAATAAATAAAAAATATTCTTGGACTCAAACATCAGCCTGTCAAAATCACTTATTTTGCCCTTATTTACCATTAAGAATCTGGTATACATGCCATGTGTTCAAACTAAAGTACAATACAAACCAACCACAAACATTTTCCACATTAAATCACATTTAATGTGGAATATCTTTGTACCTGGTTTGCCATTTTATCACATGATAAACTTTTTGAAAATGTGGCATGCTGCAATTTATTGCCCAATTAACATGTTAATAATGTGATAAATATAACATCTGCTGGGGCCCAGGTGATCATAAAAGATTCCATTTTTTCTTGACACTTGATTTGCTGCCTTTTAATTGACACCCCTCTATCACAACACAAGTACATTTTAAATTAACTACCTGGTTATACAAAGCCTGTAGCAAATTATGACTGTTTTTATTGTAGTAAAAAATGCCTGACAAATTTTGTTTCTCCTGGTTTACTCAGGCTTCTTGGCAGATATTATGTTTTAGAAGAACATTTTTACAATGATTTTCTTGTGTGGCTACATTTATACGGCATGGCACTTGTATTGAAATCATAAATCACAGTTTATAACTTCTTCTGGTTCCTACAAAGCTGAAGTCAGGGGATGCCAAACACTGTTACAACCTTGTGAATTAAAAAAAAAAATACTTTACCAAAGCAGAGCCACTTTGAGAAGCAGAGTGTTCAGTCTCCCAATTGACTTTTTCAGCTCCTGACACATGTGCCTCATATCCTGAATTCACCAGAAAATACGTGTCTCCAAGAAAACAGTCATTACTCTGAGGGTGAAGAATGCTGGCAAAGGGGTTAGCATGGCAACACCACTCTTCAACCAAAGCACTCCAGTTTTCACTAGGCAAAGGAAGAACTCGGAGAAACGTCCTAAAAGAAGAGAAAACCCCAAACTATTTCAATTTATTACAGACATTCTTATGACACCTATCTTCATAAGTCTATAACTTGTGAGATTCTCTCTAAAGGAAAAGCCTGTCTCGGCACTCACAATAAAAGGCACATTGTATAGCTGCTGAATACCACTGGATACATTCCAAGGCACCAATGGCAATGCAACACACAGTGGCTAGGGACAGACATTACACATAAACTGGTTTAAAAAGATTATCTGGGAAATGCCTGAGTCACAATCTAGTAGTGGGAGGACTCAGGCTCAACTTGATCGCCAGCAATTATATTGCAGAATTTGGCTTTGTCCCCTAGGAAAGTGAATCATAAGATAAAGTAATTTCAGTCAGTCATGAAAGCATAATTGAAAAAAATCTAAAATGCCCTTTCTTTGTTTTATTTCATGTTAAATTTCTGTTCTCTCTCTTTCAAACAAAATGGTTGTGCAACATCAGTAGATGTCTTGCCACACGGCACCTTTAGCAAGGGCAGTTATACAGGGCAAGTTTATATGGAGGGAGGCAATCAGACTTTGCCATAAACAAAATTAAGTCTTAACAAAAATGTGAGCATGAATGTCCATTTCTTTTTAAAAGACTGGAAAATACAACCTGAAATTGGATTGGGATGTAACATTTAAGTCGCACATGCCTCACAACTCTCTAAATTAGGAAATAAAGTCTGAAAGCTAGAACACACACACTGCTATTCAAGAACAATCCTGTCTGAATTCATTTTTTCTCGTAGACGATTCTTGCTTTGAAATTAACAAAACCAAAACTTCATTAAACAGTAACTTTTGTTTTATTCCTATCCCTCCCAGTGCAACCTATTATGTCTATTTTAACATCAAAAATTGGAAATTAAACAAGATTTATTTTTACACAAATATAAACGATACATAGAGAAAAAACATCTTTTTATTTTAACTTATTTCCTACAGCTCCATGAGCTGAAACAAGAATTCCCCATTCTATAGTCCCACAATTTGCTGCTCATACTAACAGCTCAGAGCTATCAATTGACACCATCACCATATTTACAATTTGCTGTGTGCACATTTTTGACAAAACTGTAGCCAATTCTGCCTTCTTGGTTTTCTTCTATGTTTTCCTCTTGTGCTCACCTTCCTTATTCTGCTGCCCAATAACTGTGTGTACAGTTTCTGGATTCTGCCCCTTATTTAAGCCTATACCTGCAATTTTGTTGGTTCTGCTGTTCTGTACGTTTGTGACAGGTTTTCTAAATCCAGTTCACAACCCCTGAGCCCATGCTTACATACCTTCTCATGGCTCCAGTCCACAACTAGCTTGATTCTTAACAGGTAATCTCAAGAAGCCATTACTTTCTTACATACTTTCTTGTGCCTTTTGTTTTCTTGTGGGGAAGTGAAATTTTTGATAAGTTTCTTTCCTTCTAAGTACACAATATATTTCAAGCTGTGCTAACACCCTACTAGAATCACCGCTGTTTGCAAATGAGAGCTGGAAGCTGTTAAAAATAGCTAAGTTTTTTGAACCAGCTACAGCTAATAAAATAACTTCCTTGGCACCACCCTTTTCATAGATTGTTAGGGGCTGGAAGGGACCTCACAGTTCATCAGGTCCAGCCCCCCACTCTAGGCAGGAAGACAACTGGGGTCAAGTGACCCCAGCAAGGTAACTGCCCAGTCTCCTCTTGAAAACCACCAGGGTGAGTGACTGCACTACCTCTGGAGGGAGTTTATTTCACAGTCTGGACACCCTGACTTGTAAAGAAGTTTTTCCTGGTATTAAGCCTGAAGTGGCTTTCCCAGAGCTTGTATCCATTGGTCCTGGTCTTCCCCAGGGGTGCCCTAGTGAATGGTTCTTCACCGAGCTCCTGATGCACTCCTCTGATATAGCGGTAAGCCACGATCAAGTCCCCTCTCAACCTTCTCTTCTTTAGCCTAAAGAGGTCCTTCAGCCTTTCCTCGTATGGCTTTCCTTGAAAGTCCTTGATCATATGGGTGTCTCTTTTCTGGACCTCTCAAGTTTTCCCACATCCTTATTGAAGTGTGGTGCCCAGAACTAGATGCAGTACTCCAACTGCAGTCTCACCAGTGTTGAGTACAGCAGGAGTATCACTTCCTTAGTTTTATACGAGATGCATCGGTTCATGCATGCGTGTTATTTGTCCTGCTGACCACTGCCTTGCACTGATGGCTCATATTCATGCAATGATCTATCATTACCCCAGGTCCCTTTCAGCCGTGGTGCAAGTCAAGCAGTCACCACCGAGTCTGTATGTATGTTGAGAGTTGTTTGCCCCCAGATGGAGCACCTTACACTTGGAAGTGCTAAACTTCATCTGGTTCTGGTCTGCCCAACTCTCTACCCTGTCCAGGTCCACCTGTATCTGCAACCTATCTTCTGACGTGACCACACTGCCCCATAACTTGGTGCTGTCCACGAACTTGGCCAGCAAGCTGTTCACTGCTTCATCCAAATCATTGATAAAGATATTGAAAAGGACCGGTCCAAGCACAGACCCCTGAGGCCCCCCCATGGCCACTTTGTGCCAGGATGACACAGATCCATTTATGAAAACTCTCTGGGTCCTACCCTGTAGCCAGTTTCCCACTCACTGAACTGTCGAGTAGGTAAGCCCACCATCTTCCACTTTTCTCTAAGGATATTGTGGGGTACTAGATTAAAAGCCTTTTGGAAGCTTCAGCATATAACGTCTACCTTGTCTCCCATGTCCAGGTGGCGAGAGACTTGGTCGTGGAAGGAGATGAGATCGGCAAGACAAGACCTATCCGCGACAAAGCCATGCTGGCTGTCATTCAGAATCTTACCTTCCACGAGCGTATCGCACACAGATTCTTTAATGAGCTTTTCCAGGATTTTCCCCAGGATAGAGGTTAGGCTGACTGGCCTACAGTTGCCTGGGTCCTCCCTCTTCCCCTTCTTGAAGATGGGCACAATGTCAGCCCTCTTCCAATCCTCAGAGATTTCCCTTGTGCACTACAAATTCTGAAAGAGCTTCACAAGGGGTTCCACAATGACCTCAGCCAGCTCCTTCAGCACTCTTGGATGAAGTCCATCCGGTCCCGCTGACTGATAAACGTCTAGCTTTTCTAGTTGGTATTGCACTCGCTCAGCATCCACAGTGGGGAGGCTGCCATTCCTAGCATGCCCCCTATGAGCCTTATCTCGCTTGTGTCTGTTTGTTTACTGCTTGATGACCCAGAAGAAGAAAGCCATGATTTATCCATGGCGTCTTTGTCTTACCTTTGAATATAGGCATAAAAAAACTGCAGCATACAGACTTCCAGTGAGAGTATCATCATCCACTGAGGTCACATAATAATTTCTGTCTGAGACATTTTGATTTCTCTACACTGCCCTAAAATCTTAATACTGGTGATGGGTCTTAGGCCAGCCATCTATACCAGCAGTTCCAACACCTGAATTAGGAATCAAAAGCCTTCTTCAGTGCTCTAAAATCCATTCAGCCCCATTAGGACATAGCAGTAATGTAAAGAACAGCACAAGAGTTTACATGGAACAATTATATTATTGTCTATTAAAGTGTTACATAATGCAAAATGAAACTAAACTGAAGCCCTGTCCCTGCTTAATCTGCTCCCCATAGCACAGACTGTTGGTTTCCACAGCAAAACTCCGTATCTTTGTCTGATTACTAAAGCTATCCACCCAACTGAATTCTCTCTCAGGAGACTACAGGGTTCTCATAAACAAGCCTGCAACAGCCTGACATGCCAAAGAAGTGTATTTACATTTTGCATCTTGGGCATCGCATTAAAAGGCATAATCCAAACCCCTTCCTGCCTCTGGAACCGTATCATTATCAATGGATTATTTTGTTCTCAGAATTTTGAACTGCATTGAGCAAGGATGTGCTCAAGTCTGTGAACTGATCTGACCTCATTAAGGATCTAACCCTTCTGTGAGTCCATGCTAATGTAAGAGTCTGCCCATAGAAATCTCTTTAGAGCAGGGACCAGCAACCTTTATAAGCCATGGGCTTGAACAATACAGCTCTGGTCTGATGCAGACCAGGTAACTTCAGTGGCAGAAGCACTTTTACAGGGACAGCCATGTAGGAGCTACGCCCCTGTTCAAAGAATCATAGAAGTAGGGTTGGAAGGGACCTTGTAGATCTTCAAGTCTGACCCCCTGTCTGGGCAGGAGAAAAAACTGGGCTCAAATGACTCCAGCCAGGTAGGCATCAAGCCTCTTCTTAAAGACCCCCAGGGTAGGAGC